AAAACATTGTTTTCCGATGGTTCAATTACAAAAAATTAGCTTTAAAAAAATCAAACATCAAATTTCAATGTGATAATGATCTGAGATAATGCCCTCAGAAATTCTGAGATCAATTCTAAGGAATTTCTGGGGAGAAGAAAGAAAGTTCTGAATTTAATACTTAGGTTATTCTAAGAAAAGTTCCATGGGAGTTGTGGAAAGAATTTCAAGGATTAATCCTAGGTGATTCTGAGCAGAATAGGAAGTGAATTTTAAGATTAAATTAAATTCAAGAAAATTTTGACACCCGCAGACCATTACTTCATCTTCTCGCATAGTCTCAGTTCGATTGAGGCTATTCGTTCGATGAAACCAAGTAGGCACTCATCTTATTTCCTTTCAAAGGTAAGGGAGCAGATGAGTGTGCTGATCGAAAGATCATATATGATTACCTTTGTATGGGTCCCTTCACATTGCTCAATCCCAGGCAATGAGAAAGCGGACTCTCTTGACAGGCAAATTTCACACCATGAATTTTACCATTTAGTGCGTCAGAGTACCCTTTCGAGTTGGCAAACCGATTGGGACAATGGAGGTCCAAGAGGTGGTTACATTCAATTATTCCTAATGTTTCTTCGAGAGCGTGGTTTAAAGGCTTGGACTGAAGTCGTGACTTCATTTGCGTGATGAGTAGACTTATGTCCAACCACTACTCGCTAAATGCTGATCTCAATAGAATAAACCTCGTGGACAGCAACATCTGTCGGTGTGGAAGCGGTTACGATGACATCGATCACGCAGTTTGGCAATGTACGGATAATTACGCCGCCGAAGAGCGACTTTTGAATACCCTTGAGGCCCAAGGAAGACAACCCTATGTTCCTATCAGAGACGTGTTGGGAACTCGCGATATCTGCTATATGCAGTCGGTTTATGTGTTTCTTCAAATGTCTAGTATAAGAATTTAACACTGGTCACCATAGTCGGTCGAACTCCAGACGAAACTAGAACCGCACTACCATTGATACTGGGGACAACGCTCTGATGAGACAACGAAACCTTACCCCCAAACTCCTCCCCTGATCCTATCCTTCGACAATGTACCTCTCTTACCTCGAGTAAGCCGCGAGTATTCGGCCCAACTCCTACTAGACATAGAATTAAGTGAATTTTGTTACAAACAAAGAACAATGAACTATCGGCTCCGTAAAGCTAACGCGATTGAGTCTTCCAAATAAACGAACTAGTTAAAAAAAAAGAAAATTTTGACGAGAATTCGAAGAGCATTACAAACAGACTATAAAGGGTGTTCTGATGACAATTTAAAAAGGAATAGACCCAGAAGTATTCCTGTTGACTGTTTTGATTAAAATTCCGGAGTGATTAAGAGATTTGGGCGTAATTGCTTTTGTAAACAAACACGTCAATTACTGATTTCTCTTGAATAAAAGCTCAATCTAACAAACAAACTATACCAAATGATAGAGGAATCATTCCTCTACCTCATAGTGTTATTACTTTTCGAGATTGCGCTTTTATTCGTGAGAAATCGGTGATTGATGTGTTTGTTTACAAATGCAATTACGCCCTAATCTCAAATCACTCCGGAATTGAGAAAATTTTCAAAGGAAATTGAATTCTCAGCCCAAATATTTTTTTTGTATTCGTGAGAGTTTTGTAGACCATAATTAAGGCTTGAATAATGCAATAAAACCTCTATAAAGCTTGCAATGTTATTTGAGAGGACATATTATATTAAGGGAGTTTCAAGGGAATTCTGAATACGAGAAAAGGGAATTCTGTGATTCGAGAAAAGTTTCAAGAGTATTTTTACTGTGAGTTTAAGAAGAATACCATGGTAGTACTGAGCAGAATTCCATGTTTGTTATTGTAAATAGGTTAATAACCATTTGGAAAAGTAGCACATTAGTTGATAAAGTTGAAATTTTTATGGCGCAGAGATCATGGCGATTTCAGAAGTTAATTTTTTGCAAAAAAAAACATCAGTTATAGTAAACGTTTTAAGTAAGGTGGAACAAGATGGGTACATATTTAAATTTATTTGATTGTTAAAATCAGCAGGTTCAATTCAACCCCAATGATGCTGCTTTTTCAAACCAGCATTGGGGCTACATTAAGCTTGTCGATGTTGACAATCAATACTTAGTGTATAGTGTACTTTAGTGTAACGCAGAACGGTAGAGAAGATCATTTCATGTGATAAGTTCGGTGACTTAGTAGCGACCATTTTTACTTATTATAAATAGAGCAGGAGATCGTGGTTCCAATCCAAGCCATCTTAACATTAAAGAATTGCGAGGGTCGCATCGGTTTCTTAGTGATTTTTATTCTCTTTCTCCTTTTCTTTCTGTGCACGAAAGAGACGAAAACCTTTTACCTAACCTCATCAACCCTTCCGAGCATTCAATCGTGGAAATGCGGAGGATTTTTCGGTTTCAAATAAAGCGAGTAGAGCTTAGATCTAATGTTGGGCCTTAGTTACACAGCCCGCACTTTTCCTCTCTTTTTCGAGTGAATTTTTACGCAAAATGGAATGTTTCTACTACAGATGTCTTCCAAATTGATTTACCTATCCATAGATACCCTTATATTTCATAAAGATACACAAATTGTTAAGATATAGTCAAAAATCTAACACCCTTTTTTGACTCCAAACTCGGCCTACGAATTCTGATTCTGTCCTAACGCATTGAAAGACCATTTATTCACTTCGGCGTACGGATGAAGCTAAAAATGGAATGGAAAATGAATTTGGTAGGAGCGCTTCTATTGTTTTTGAGATAAATGTGTGTAAACATTCATTCCGTGCGTTCTTGTATGCTTGTTTTGGTAGCTTTTGTTTTAAAGTATAACATATAATTGACTAGTTTACACCGAAATCATGGATATATTTGATATTTTCTGCTCGCTAGACCCAAAATACGCGATTAGGGCGACGCACTTCTCTACCCTATAATGCAAAAAAAAAACCCCTAATTGACCTGCATTTGAACGTGGTCGACACAGATATTCCCCAAAATTCAGATCACCACCATTTGCACATTGAGGATGAATGTCACTCTCTAGCGCCATCTATTGTTTTTTGTGTGCCATTACAGCTGATATTTGCATTAACGGAGTAGTAATCAGGGGCAGTCAAAAAATTAGATCCGAAAGGTCTCAATTCACAACTTAATATGTGCTCAAAGAATATTACCTTAAGGCGCGGAGACGAACCAGCCCAGGGCTGAAAGTGTCCTTAATAAAGATAAATAAAAAAAAACTTAAGGCAGTTTATTTGTGAAATCCAAGAAACAAATAGATTTAGCACGCCAGTTACATTCATGTCTACACTGTTTCAAATTAGACTTGTATTCAATTTATTAAAAATAACATCCCAAAAGCAAAACTTTATTCGTAATAGGTAAACCTTTCAATCTTTTAACATGACAGTTTTGACCTACCCATATTAAATTTTCCCCACCGTGCAAATCACTCACCACGTCAACCGAGGGAAAGGGAGGGCTCAATTTTTCACTATATTAGGTGGTGTCACGGTGTGAACAACTGCCGTATCAGACAAGTGTATCAGTAACAGAGCACCCCTGCTAAGGACCATCGTCATCGCTGAACAAGAGAGAGAGGGAGAGCGAACGACCCAAGTACCAAGATCACTTCTGTACCTTTCTGCAAAACCATTACACACAGACCCCATTCCATCCCCACTCAGAACAACCACCCACCAACACCCACTTTGTGACTGTTGTGAAAATCGCTTTTCCGTGCCGCACGAAACACAACACACGCAGGAGCAGCGAACAGATTGATCCTTTTCTCTCGACCTCTCGTTCTAGCTTTCGCACCCTCGCTCTCTCAATTTGCTCCGTCGTGGCCAGGAGCGCTAAATGACTCCACACACAGGCAAACCATCTCGCTTGCGTGTGAGCTTGAGAGTACATCCTTAACTTTTCAGGTAGTCGTGTTTATTTTAATTTTGTATGAAATTACACAAAGTTTTCGCCTCGGGTTCATTTTCGGTTTCCAACCCTCGCCCTCTCTCCCCATCATTGCACAGGTAATAAGTTCAGCCTGGGTGCATCGCAGCAATTGAGGTCCCGCAATGTAGCGGTTCCACACGAAGCTGATGATGGGTTGGAGGAAAAAGTTATTTCACACTTTTCTGCAAACTTAGCTCAATGGAGGAGAAAAATACTGCGCGGTGAAACAAAAGTGGCGATATCGGTGGGTTGGGAATCTTATCGAGAGAAAGTTTCGATGGGGTTTGCAGAGTTTTTATAAACTCTGAGTTCGGAAGTGAATGATGAGTAGAATCACGACAGAAGTGGATCAATAGATTTTGTTGTTGTTGTTGTTGTTGAAAAACAAACAAATCACTCCTGAATTCCGGCTGGAATTCCACTGCTGTTAAATATTTTAAATATGTACCAACTGAATGCATAATACAGTAATGACCCGATTTTGTCAGCCCCTTTTTTGATAAACTATTGTAAGGTTCTACGAAACCCCTGCACTTTTTTCAGTGGTCTTATTGCACCAACGTATACCCATAATATTCTTGAAGGTGCATGAGAAAGATGTGAAATTACGGTTATGTGAAATTATTGATAGATAAAAGTCTGAAAACGGAGGGACTGACAAAATCGGATAAATGTCTTCCCTGATATCTAATAGATTCCGATGAGGAACACAAGAATATGCTAACGGCATTCTGGTAATAAATAAATTATTGATACGGATGTTTTAAGGAAGGCAAATTCCTTTGAAATTTCACTACGTAAAACCACAACAGGAATTCCATGGGAAGGGAGGGAATGACAACAATAATTTAATCATGAAATTGCTACCTATCTGACCACATTGATTCTGCTGACGAACGCGCTTTTACAGCCCATTAACCTTCGGCGGCTTTGGCCATTGGAGCCACCGATTGGACACACAAATCGGTCTGCAGAGTTGTAAACACACGCTTCAATCAACAATGTAAACAAATCGGTACTTACGTGCATCACGCTGCTTATCGTTACTAACTTGCTTTGGAGAACAGTTCTTCTTATTTGGTATTGGACGTAGACCTACTTGAGACTGTGTTGTAGAGATAGACAAAAAAAAAAAAACGGGAAACATTTGTTAGTAATTGAGGGAGGCATCTGTTTTTTTTTTCTGAGACCCTTACATTTTTATTGACTTTATCGGTCCGTTCCCCGCTCGGTAGGCGGGCGACTGACACATCCGGACTGTCCTCCGGTGGGGGTGGTTGTGCAACCCAGTTGTACTCCCGCTTCTCGATCGCCACTCCCCATCGATCGTACTCGGCCGATTGTTGCCTATAACGACAGTTCAGTATTCGAGCAGATTGCACTAAAGTGCTATTTTTCAATTCCCACCTTAACCCTTCGTAGCAATCGAGACAGACCACTGCGTAGTCGCCGTTCTCCAGCAGCAGTCCGTCGCTTTTTCGATTCGCCACGAAGGGGTACTCCCGGATGGGCAACGCACGAACTCGCTTCCGATAGGTTGTGATCCCGCACAGGTGGCAGCAGTAGTCGTGGAAGTTGTACTCGCGATTACTCGGGGGCACCGTGTTTTGAGCTTCATATCTGGATTGAAGAGAGGGGAAGTTTGTAGATTTAGACAAGTTGACTCAATAATGGCGTTATTACAAAGTGGATTAACTTTCTTCGGGGAAGAGTAGCACTTTAATGCAATTTATTCAAAATTTTAAAGCGTTCGACTATTTGTTAAGGAACGTACAATATCATGTTCGTATTAATGATGAGGATGAAAACAGAAATTTTTTGACCTTGTATCATGAGAAATCATTCATCGCGCAAACTTGGGACTCCATATCAAGAACTATGCTAACTAGAAATACATACAGTACACGCAACACATTGTAGTGATCTTCCAATGTTTTGCGACGATAAAACACTATTAAACGAAATAAGGATCAATATACAAATGGATTATCACTTTATTACACATCATGTTCAGCAACAAAAATGATAATCCTCTGATATGAAAATAATCATTGTGTAATATATCTCGAAATCCCGACCATCATGGAAATTGCTGTCTGTGGCAAAGTTGTTCAGATAATCAAAGCCTTTCGAATGGTGAAGGTTAGCTCAGAATTCTACCGTTACGTGGTGCTAGGGTGAATGTGAAATTCCACAAAGTGCTATATCTCGAGTTCCGGACCAGGGTGTCTCTGGTCATTGCCTACCCGTTTTGGGCAACCCAACCCCACCATCAGCTATTAATTTCCTCAGATATATATAAGTAATTTCTGGCCTTTGGTCATTAAATTACGCATGGACCTCTAACTCAATACAATTTCAAATTGAATCAAGCGTTCGATACATTGTTTAAACAAATAAATTCATTCAGATCTCCTCCATCTTCATGGTGTCCAGCAAATGTCAATTAGCTATTTTCCGGTTTGTTCCCGTTTTGTTTTTTTTTAATTAGGCATAAAACTGAATGCGATTGAGCCGAAGGTTACATGGGTCATTTCTAAGACAGCAGTAGTACTGCTGCAGTACCTTTGCTGGATCTTGAATTTGGTTCTGCGACACGTTCGAAGTCTTCGCTCAAAACTTTACAGGCTATTATTAGATTGGGAATTCTCAGACAATTTTAAGAATTCTTTTAAAATAAATTTAAAATTCATTCTGGAAGTCCCTTGAAAATGTCTTTATAACAGTCCAAAAGTTCTCTGTACACCAATCCAAAAAAAATCTTAAAATTCCTCCTTTTAAAACTTCTAAGAATTCACTAGAGCTAAATTTTTTTGTTTATTTGCCTGAAATTCTTCGTTGAGTTCCCATGAAATTCACCTCAGATTCTCGACCAACAATTGAAAAGGGCCTATTAGCTTTTATGAGCAAAACTTGTAATCCCGCTTCCCTGCCAACACCATTGGGTAGGGGAAATTCTCCCACAGAGAATTGTCTTCGAATTTTGCTCATAATTATCTTGGAGTTCGGCTCTAAATTCTTCTGCAAATTGCATGGAATTCACAATAAAATTCTCTAGAAATTCCATTCAAAATGCGCTTGGAGTTATCCTCAGAATGTCCTTATAGATCTTCGAAGAATTATTTTGGGATTGTGCCCTCAAAATTCGATTTCCTTTCTTTTTTTTACGAATCCTGGAATCCTCTTCACTCTTGGGAGTTCTAGTAAAAACTGTCTTAGAGATTTTCCGAGATCTCCCTAGAAAACATTCTATGAAATACCTCTAGAATGCATTCTAAAATCTGCTCAAATTTGTTTTGAAAAAAAAAATAAAATTCTGATAATAGTTCTTTAAAGTGAATGTATTCTGAAAATCTAGTCCAGGCCAAGGGTCTTGAAATCTTATTGTTTTTGAAGACAATACGGGGTATATTTTTCTAGATTTGTCATCTTTCGGTTTTTTCACGGTGACTTCAAATTCCCAGTTTGACTTGAGCACATTTTGAGACCCAGCTCCACAAGAAAATTATTCCGGATAATACGCTTAACCAAAAGCCAAAATTCGCGGGCGGATTCGCTCAAGCGAGAAATCTTGAAAACAACGCTTTCACCTCCAAAATAAGTTAATTCCAATAGCAGCAAGATTACAATACTAAAACTTCACTGTGAAGCTAATTTTACGAGCTAACCAGGATTCCAATGAAGACTTAGAATACTCAATGAAGCCATCATTATTCAATCATAAAAGTGCTACTCCAAGCAATAAAAAAATCATCCCAAGCAAGACCATTATACTAAATTCTCATTTAGTTAGTTATCTGAGCTAATCAAGCTGTTAAGAACACAATAAGGAACAAGAACTAAAAGTATTCAGAAAAAAACTTCATCTTCTCTTACACCTGGGTTTAGACAAGGAAAGTCAATAATTGATCAACTCACTTGAAACCATGCCATTTAACTGACTTGATCAACTCACTCGAATTGAAAAAAGTTGAACCAGGCTTGCCTTGTCTGAGCCCACCTTAACTCTTTACCATTCTTGCATTTACTCAAAGGCGCTCCAATGCGCTCAAGGGATTGATTTTTGTTGGACACAACAGGATCGAACGGACGCACCAATCCACTCGAAGTTAAATTTTGTCAGATGCAAATAGGTGTAACATCTATACCCATTAGCAGCTTAATTTTTGCCATAACTAACAGCGTTAAGCGCCTACGAAAATGGATTTTAATCTCAGCTCAACTCAGGAATGTGACAACACCCAGTGGGAGGTGAATTTGTAATAGGCGAAATCGAAATACCCTTTTATTTGAGTAACCTTCGCTTAACTTTCAAAAATGCAACATCAATCATTGAACAACTATAAGTTCGAAACTCCATTTAAAATTTGAAATGAAAAACAATCCTTAAACTACACCGAGTAAAATTAAGTTGTTTGGAACTAGCGAAGTCAGTCATACTTATTAATGAGTTTCTTTTATAAAGAAATTTTTCCCTTAATTTTAATGAAATTCTCTAAGATTCCCTGATTGTCCAGGTTTTTTCAGGTAGTCGACACCCTGCTGATTATCTGGGAAATTGTTGACTTCGGCAAAGTTGTTCAAGTAACCAAGGTTTTCTACATGGTGCACACTGCCGGTAACCGCAAATCAGTCCCATCTGTATTTTTTTTTATCAATTTTGAGTTAGCATCATTATTCAGTTTATCCGTCTATGTTTTTGAGCTGTGCTATTGAAAAAAGGTGGCTTGTTCAAGAAAATGAAAAACAATACCAAGTCAAATTGTCCTACAGCGAAATGTAACCATTTGATTTCATTAAATCTATATACATAAAAATGAATTTCTGTCTGTCTGACCCTTATAGACTTATATTTCTTCCTCATGTCATAGTTTTAACTGCATTCAAGAATAATTAACTAAACAAAAAAACAAAACAAAAACATAGCAAAAATTCATACCATAACATGTCTAACTTACTATCCACTTTTGTTGACTAATACCGAAGACAACAAATCAAGAAGACTGGCAACTCTTCCATTTTCTCATACGAACGCTATGAGATAGGTACAATTGCGTCATCTTCCGCTCAAAGGTAAATGCTTCGAACGAATTTGATAGCAAAGATTACATCCTCAGAAGAAGGGTTTGTGTATTTGCTCATTTTTCTATGCGTTGCTTCCACCTTCACTCAAGCGCAGTGCCATTGTATCTGTCGCTTGGATTCTGGCAAAGTTGCCAGTCTTCTTGATTTGTTGTCTTCTTCTTCTTATTCGCATTTCAAGCTTATTGCTTAGCGCATATTAGCTTATTGCGTGCTCTCAACTTAGTGTTTTAAATGCACTTCCACAGTTATTAATTGAGAGCTTTCGATGCCAAACCAATGCATGCATTAGTATATTGTGTGGCAAGCACAATGATACTCTATGCCCAGGGAAGTCAAGAAAATTTCCAACCCGTAAGATACCATTGACCTAACCGGGAATCGAACCCGGTCTCCGGCTTGGTAATATTTGTTGTCTTCGCGAATACCTAAATGTAAGCTTTAATCTTTAAATTTGTGGAACCCCTTAACGGAATCCCTTTATGAAGAGCTTTCAGTGTGCTAAAAGCTAAATAGTTACCTAAAAAAACTATCTAAATCGTTCACAACCAGAGCTGGACCACCGATGAAAACCAAAACTACAACCCTGAAAAACGTATCGATATTTTCGAAGGCGAACACTCCGTTACCTATTCTTGCTACTGATTCTGTCCAATTGTTAGGTATCCAAATTATAGTCATTCGTAAATTTACTATTGAATAATGGATGAATTATCTATTATTGAATAACTATTATTTACGATGATTAGGGGAAATGGATGTAATGTAGGCCTAATTTCCCCTAATTTGGGCCCATACATAAATTCAGCAATCGACTAAATTTTCAACAGCGACCAACAATATCCATTAGTACCGTCCCAATGACGCGTTCATCTAGATAAAATTGATAAATAGCAGATTTTTAGCAATCCAGAGGCCATCATTAGAGCCATTTCCCCTACATGAAATAAATAAAATATAAACTAAAATCTCAAAAAGATATTCTCACAAATGTAGTTCACGCAACCAGGCCTGCTTCCACTCACCCGCCACAAAAAATGATCCCCGGAATCCTGAAACCATTAGATGTTACTATGATACCTTACACATGTTAGACACAAGGAGAGGCCAAAAGCGAAGATAACATATCAAGAATACTGGCAACTCTTCCATTTTCTCATACGACCGCTATGAGACCGACACAATCGCGTCATCTGCCGCGCAAAGGTAAATGCTTCGAACGAATTTGATAGCAGAGATTACAACCTCAGAAGAAAGGTTTGTGTATTTGCTCATTTTTCAATTCAGTACCTCCACCTTCGCTCAAGCGCAGCGCTACTGTATCTGTCGCTCGGATTCTGGCAGAGTTGCCAGTCTTCTTGATTTGATGTCTTCGCCAAAAGGCAAGCGTCTGACACACCAAACCCGTCAAATCTAACTGCAGATAGTCACAATCAACGATTCTACGAATCGCGAGCGCTCACGCTGATTGAACGCTTACGAATCATAAAATCGCTGAATGTGACGCTTTGAAAGCGAAATTGTTTCTACTGCAATCT